CAAACTCTCTAGCCTTGCAAAAAGTCTGCAGACAAAATTATGGGGTACTCCCAGGGAGACACAGTGACCAATCCTCCACCTCCCATTTCTGAGCCCTCCCTGGTCTCCATTTGCACCCACCCTTAAACCAACCACTTCACTAAAGTCACTGACTTTGAAGATGTGAACACTGCTCCTACCAAAAGACCAATTCTTTGCTTTTCCACCCCTCACTACAACTCCTTGTCTCTGTTTCTTAGTTCCAGAGTAAGGGCAGACAGTGTCTGCTGCAGTTTGGAGCTGAATCAAAGCAGCTGAAGTACATGGAAATTCGGGAAGATCAGCATTTGGCACTGCACTAAGGATGGAAATTTGAATTTGAATTATCCTCAGCCTTCACTGAGGATACATTTAATTCCACGTTCCCCTGAGCTTCCCAGTAGACTGGCGTACCTCCCCCACTGTCTTTTGCGGTGGGAATGTTTTCCAGCAGCTCCCAATACCGGCTAAAGCCAAGCCTTTAAAGCAGTATCAGGGTGCTTAATCACCTAGCTGACTGCAGGGGTAGGATCGGTCTTGGCTATCTTCAGCCATCTCTGGGGCCAGGAGCTGGGTAGGCTCCCCCTCTAGTTAGTGGAGGAAGATAAGCATCTGCAGAGAGTAATCTATCCCACCTCTCTCTCTCTCTCTGAATTAACTGAAGAGGAGCCCAGATAAGTAGTTCAGATCAGACATATTACTTCTGAATAGCTGCAGCTAGACAAGATTAATTCCACCCTCAGCATCCAAACACTTACATATGTAGTTTCTCATTACTTATCACAGTTGAAATGTCTGTTACTCATTGATTTAGAAACAGATTTTGCCATTGTGATTTCCTTTTCTTTGTGCAAAACGTTTATTATTCAGTATTTGTATCCTAGCATGCAGGAATATGTGACAAGACATTTCCTGCACACGCACACCCACAGTGCACCTGCAGACCAGTAGCTGGGCTCATCTTGAACCCCTCTAAGCAGTGGTTTAAAAGCCCCGATGATGCAAAGGAGATTGAGCAGAGGCTCCTTTTTGACTCAGCTCTCCAAGAGCCTCCAATCCCTGTGCTCTGCTTCCAGCTATTTGGGTTTTATTTGTTTCAAATCATTTTGGAAGAGCAACTGAGAGGACAGCATTGCTTTTGTTAAACAATGCTGTTTGGGTACCAGTCACACGTAACCACCCTGCTGATGGTGGTCCCCGTGTCTCTCTGCAGGACAGACAGACAGCGCAACTTTTCCCACTCCCAGCAATGCCATAACCCAGCCTCCGTTTCCCAAGCAGGTCTGCTTGCCTTGTCCCCGCAGGGGTGTGGAGCAAGGCCGGCTGGGGCCACGCTGTCTCCGCGGGGCCGCGCTCCCAGCGTGGCGGTGCCTCGCACGGCCGCATGCCTCGCATGCCGGAACACGCAGCGCCCACGGTCTGGGTAACAGCGTTCAAAGGAGTCAAAAAGGGCTACTTATGAGTTTGGATACTAGCACCTAAAGATAAGCTTCTCCATGGTTACCACTCTCACGCAAGGTCACTTTCCTGCCAAAATTCCTCTCCTCCCTCCCTGGCTCTGTCTCCTTCCCCCTCCGCTATTTTTTTTTTTTCCCAAACGTGCTACATCAAAGGAGAAAATGAAAACATATACGATAATCATAGTCTGACTATTTTAATGCAGGCTGTAGGAAAGGAAACATGTAAGCCAAGTGCTCTTACTGTGCAAGCAGAAACACACTCTCGACCTCATAAAAGTAGTATCTGAGAAATAACACTTGATTAAAGAAGCCAGTCCTTCATTTAAGTAGGTGCTTATGGTAGGGAAAATAGCCAGGGTTTCTCCAGAACAGGCCACTGGCCTATCACGAAAAGCAGGAACAGGCCAGACAGATGAATTAGTGCAAGACAGCTGGGTTTCAGCCGGGGTGCGAGGAGATCCCTATTATCCCGTCCACCTTTCCTACACAAATGCCTCTCCCCAGAGAAACTGAGTTATTAAAAGCCAGCTCATTCACTCCTGACAGGCAATATGCATTGAGTGAGAGGTGATACATTCTCATTTTCAGCAAGAAATCTTAGTCGCCCCAAGGAGCAGCTCACTTAGGAGAGCAGTAATGGAATACAGGGCCTTTCATCTCCGCCTCGCCGCCACGAGCACTGCCTGGCTCGGTAACAACCCAAAAGTTATTAGTTAATGGCTGGTTTCGCTGACCTCCATGAAATGAGTTTGGTGGGTTAGGTCTGGTTTTCAGTAGACAATAGCTAGGACCACAAGTGATGTTAAACAGGAACCACGTTAATGAGTTGAGCGCCCAGCAGGTAAGGACCGAGCAAATTGCCCAGGTGCAGCCATGCCACTGCTTTTTTTGTCCTCCAAGGCCATGGAACACAAAGGAAGCCCTGCAGCTGGCCAGCCTGCTTCACCCAGATGGGGACCCCCAGCTCCCAAGATCCCAGCTATGTCCTTATTTACACAAACAATGTGGTAAAAACAAATGAACAAACAACAGTCATTTCATATTCTTTGGGAGCTCCATCTAGGCACCATTTGGAGCTGATAATAGCACAAACCTGAACTACCAAAGTGCTGTCCAAAAATGGACTGCTCCCACAGTCCTGATCTGAAGATGTGTACTTACTTCTGGGTACATCATTTTGCAATAATAAAAATACTTTATTTAAGTAATTCCTCATTTTAGTACATTTAGTGAAATCAACCTTAGCAGATCGACCCTACATCTCTCCTAGAAAACAAACCACAGCTATCCCTCTTTACTTTCTTCCTGTTCAATGGCATCTGTAGTCCCAAGTTTGAGCTACCCCTGGGACAGTGATGGCCTGTGGAGTCCAGAATCCTCCATCATTTGAAGAGCTTGCTCCCAAGGAAATGCAGAATTCACCCTGAAGTGAGAGTAGCTGGAATCCTTATACCATGTATAAGGTATAATATCCCCAAAATACCTTAGCAACAGTTTGTGCTACTTCCTATGCCAAGTTTCCATGAAAGACTGAAATCCCAGAAGAAATCTAACTTGGGTTGAAGAGCTTCTGTCCATCTGTTAAGCTTGCACAAATTACAGCACATCACACACAAGCCTGTTTCCATCACTTTGCATGACTAGATAGGTATCTTCAAATAAGACATCCACCCACCAACTGCTTAGATAAGAGATTCACTGAGGACCCATTCCCAAAAGGGAATGGATGCAAAGCAGGCAGCAAACTGCTATCACAGCCCTGAGGATGCCCCCTTTATTTACTTCAAATTTAAATCTCATAGGAATTAGCACAGTTTCCACTTCTGGGGGAGACTGGCAAGAGGGTAAAAAAGGCTCTGCAGAAAGACAGAAGGAAGGTCTGTGTGGCTTACACATAGAAGGTACCTCTTTAGCTGTCAGAAGGATTCAGTCTGAGAGCTGGACATTTTATACAGATGTCGTTAACATCCAAAACACTCATGTTGTCTTTCTTGGAAGGGATAGTTAAGTGGTTTTAAATTTCTGACTCTCAATAGTTGATTCAGTCCCTTCTCTAACACAGCTGAGACTGGTAACTCTCAAGGTCAGATCTTCAGGTGTGACCCTTTATTCTTTTTCCTTCTTTACACTGCTCTCCAGTGTAAAGGTGCCTCCCTCCAATGCTCTTCTCCACACAGAAGCTTTTGATAGTCAGAGAACAAAGGAAAGCTGATCAAGGAGATGTTGGTACACCAATAACTGGGCAATAGGCAATATCTGTACAGTACTTATGAAAGAGCAAAGCAGAACCCAAAAAGACTCAAGCATGTCTCCACAGATTTCTCAACAACTGAGACCTGCCTTACCCTGAGGAACATAACTAAGGAAAACCAGAGTGTAAAGGTACTGCTTTACAGCTGAAGCCGAAGTGAGAGGGGGACCCACCAAGTACAGAGGGAGTTCTCAGACTGAAGGCATTCAACAGAGCAGGAGCCCAGGGCATATATCACTGTGACATGTGTGATGGCATGTTTTCATTATTACAGGATTAAAACTTTTTTTAAAAAATTACCATAGCACCCTGATCTCCGCAGGAGCAGTGATGACTTAGTGTAAATTAATTTTGCAGATTACCAGGGCTTTTTCCCCACAGAACAGTTCAAGTACTCTGCAACAGGTTCATTAAATCCGTGTATATGTGTAAAGTTACATTAATTTTTGAAGTCTACCATTCTCTCCTCCTTTTTTTGATTTTATTTTAATGATGCAGGAGAATTGTATCTGGTACTGACTATTTTCTTGGCACTCTACTGAAATGTAAAGCCTTACATATTCTGCTGATAACCAGACCACAAATTGCAACAAAAGGAGCGATTTGAACTTTGCGTTTTACTCATCTCACAGATTACAGAAAGGAAGCCAAAGCTATCTGCCCCAACTCATAGAGCATTATCTTTTTACTTAATGGAAGTGAAAAAGAAGCCTGCACTCATTACTCAAAGGACACAATTATTACTTCCTCTCTATATTGTTGCTAGTCAAGAATAAAATCCAGGCTATGACCTTTTCATCAAGCGCCAAGCCAAAAATCCACCTGGGACAGCCACAGGAGACAACCCTCATTCTTTCACTCAGTAATTCAGAGCAAAGGCCCTTGTTGCATATAGTTGAAAGGAATCCTTGGAAAAGTTTGGCTTAAGGAAGAATCTAATAAATGCTGATCAACAGATGAAGGCCAAAAAGATTTCTGTCTCCTCCTGCATGATCCTATCACAAAAAAGGCACCACTAATTCAACAGATCAGCCCTCTCCCAAATAACCTGCTCCATCTGCATACAGCGTAAGGTCACAGAAAAGACTATAAACTCAAATTGTAGCAATACAATGTATTAATGCCATAAATTCTTCAACAGAGACCTGAATTCCAGGAGAAGAAAGCATAATAGTGTTGGATTCCTTATATTTTTTGTTTTGTTATGGCAATAATAATGTGCCTTTTGAAGTTCATAGAGGGAGATACAATGCCAAAAGGCAAATACTTACAATACAAGAGCACTTGGTACATTTATTTCCTTCAGGCCTAAATTCTTCTCCTTCATTGTAAAGTCTCCCTTCAAATACACAACCTGGAAAACAGCATTTGAATAAATTTAGCTCAAGATAGAATGCTGAGTTTTCTCCCTAACACACCCCATTTTACAACAACATGAAAAGTAAATCATACCATCCTCTTCAATACAGAATCATGGAATTGTTTCATTTGGAAAAGACTCCCAAAATATCAAATCCAACCTTTGACTGATTACCATCTAATCAAGTAGACCGTGGCACTAAGTGCCACATCCAGTCATTTCTTGAGCACCTTCAGAGATAGTGACTCCGACACCCTGGACAGCCTATTACAAGGTTAAAAACCTTTTCCATGCTGAAATTCATCCTGATATCATCAGGGGAGACTGAACCTCCTATGGCACATCTTGAGACTGTGTCCTCTTGTTCTGTGACTGGTTGCCTGGGAGAAGAAACCAATCCCCACTGTGCTACATCCTCCTTTCAGGGAGTTGTAGAGAGAGGACCACTTCAGAAGAAAACAAATCCTGAACAAATCCTTGAAAAACCCTAAATGTCTTTTGTGGGGAGGGGGTGGGGGGAGAGGGGGAAAGAAAACATCCTTCTACAGCAGATAATTTGTAAAAATGAAGTGGAGGCAAGGCTAAGTCTCCCATTAGAAGTGCCTTTAAAACAGTTTTTTAGGCTGTTTCCTTTTTGATAATTCATTCTAACTCCCTGAGTTTATACTAGATATTAACAGTTATTATAAATAATCAAAATACAATCAATCCATTATATCACAACTGGAGCAATGTTTACCCTCAGAATCTCTGATAAAATCAAATTAACCTAAAAAATCATGGTAATGTGCCACTGTGCTTCACAAAGGCAACCTGTTCTCACTCCCCTTCATAAGTTAGTCTCCTTTTTTATGATTACTCTTGTCCTTCCCTTCCTAACAAAATCATGGTCATCGGTCATGCAAACCCACCTTACAGACCCTCTGAAAAATGACATAAACACACCTGTGAATATTAGCACAGGATATTGCGTGTGCATCCCCTGGTCTGCATGTCCTCTACTAAAACATGTTCAATAAGTCTTGTGTCACATTGTTTATTGTGAGTCATCAGCCCACATTTTAGTAAGTTGTTGAGTATAACAAGTAAGTTAGAGGCAGCCTTCCAGGTGATGATGAGTATCATTAGAAATACAGTTGCACATGTAAAATAGCATCTTAACCATGAAATCTCACCTGGACACACAGGACAACACATTCCCCTGAGTTTGGAAGGGTTTTTGCAATGAACAACACACTGTACTTCTGATTCTACTATCACTCCTTCCTGGAAAAGAAGCAGATTAGAAACATTTATTGTTAGCATTGCAGTTGCTTTAACAAGCAAAATTTCACAATTACATTCAGTAGAATTAAAGCCCAGCACATGTTGCAAAGCACTGGCTTTCAAAACTTCTTTTCTTTCTGTACCTGCTGCCTGGTATCAGGATTCAGGTTAATCCACACTCAAAAGACCCACTTCAGTCTCCCTGACTCCAGACCTGTGATTTGCCTTAAAATGCATCAGGAAAAAAACCAAGCATCCTCTTAGGGAAAGGAATCCTGCTTTATCAGGAATCCTTAACCACAGTAATCTGCCATGCAGCTCTGGTGAAAACAGGCCAGACACAAGGCATTCTCCTTCGTCTCCTATTGGAGGAAAATGGACTTAGTAAACAGATAAAAGCATCTTGTTCTGTAGAAGGGAGACGCTTATCTTTGATATTTTGCCTGATAAGTATTAGTAAATTAACATTTCCTGTACTTATTCGAGAAGTCAAGAGTCCTGAACAAACCTGGGTGTGAGGGTCTATGCATAAAAGCTGCTACCTTTTTTGCCTACTTACAGCTGTTTGAGGCAAGGCAAAATTGTTTTTTAAATGTGTGGATCTAGGGTAAACAGAATCACCCAGTTTTGCCATTAGACACTGAAACAGGCAATAAAGAACTGACCACATGCAACATATCTAAATTCATGTAGTGAGTTTCTTTTCATTAGGTGCAAGGATACAGAATACTGGTCCAGCTTCAGTCATCTCAGTGTACTTATTTTAAAAAATTAGTTGGTTTCACAGAGCAGAAGTTTTAGAGAAAAAGAGAAAAAAACCCTTGAAACTCTCATCTCCTCTTAGTAGAAGCTCTTCATACTCACAAATCTCTTCTTTGCCATTCTTAGTAGCTGCCTGAGTGTTACTGTTAAAACCAGATCAAATTGTCAGCAAAAATGGCAGACCTATTTACAGACATAAGCTAAAATCGCCTACATAATTACTTGGTTTGAGCCTGACAAGCAACAATCTTGAAAATGTTATGGCTGCAGATAGCTAAGCTACCAAAAATACCGCTGTGTTAACAGTACAGGAGCCCAGGAAAAAGATTTTGTTGTGGGTTTTTCTTAAAGAAAGGTAAAACTCATGGACACATACACACAGAAGCATCCAATTACTAAAATAATTTGTATCTCACAAAAGGCTTAGAATGCTGAAGAAAAGAGGACTTATTTCAAGGCCAAGACAGCAGGAAATGACATGGCTGTGTACCTCTCCTTCAGCAAAGTTTGGGTATTGGGGTACTCAAGTCATTTAAAACCTATACTGCTGAATATTTGGTTATAGCTGGCTGCATCTAAGTGGATTTAAATTACTTAAATGCAAAGTCCATATTGTGCTTTGGGCATAAAATATTTCAGGTTATTTGGATTGGATAAATGAAGACTCAGGATTTCCTGGGAAAAGCTTATAACTAAATTAGCACGATTTTTATGACATCCTTACCTGGCACTGGTATGTAACACAGGGATTGCTGGGGAGGTGCCATTTCATGGAGCTGTTGTACGTATTTCCTTCAAAACTGCAATCTAGAGGATGAGAGAGAAGCCCATCAGTTCAGCTGAACAAAATATTGTGGGAGGCTGCTGCTGAGGATCACAGGGTAGCATCCTAAATGCAACCCACCATCTCCACTGGGTTAACAGAAGAGGTAGAGCCAGGAGCTGGGATGAAAGAGAAGGATCATGTCCTGGGAGGACCGGTAGCACTGCCCTGCTGCTGATGCCCAACTGGCCAAACTCCTTACTAACTCTGACTGGTCAAGAGAAACCAAAATCAGTGACAATTCACTTAAAAATGGATGTCAGCACTTACTCTGCAGTCCATTCAGTAACTACTCAGTTACTCAAGCACTGGAATGGGGAGGGAAAAATGAGGGTAAAAGAAGAGCTGGAAGCATTCATCATATAGCTTGGCCATGCTATCTTCATCCATTAACCAAAGCCCTTGGGAGAGCTCTCCAGCAAGCACAGTTCAGCAGGGATGAGCTGACACTGGCAGAGCTACCTCTCCTTAATGCCTTTTCATATTCATGACAGGAGGGAACACCATCCACATGAACTAAAAGCCATCAAGTTCTCTTGTGTGTGTGGTGAATCTCATGGGGAGACATTTCAGACTCTCACAGAGTTTGGCTTTATCCATCTTGGTGTGCTATATGACAACTTTGTTAACAGAAAGCAGGTTTGTTTGCCCACGCACTGGATCAACCCACATTTGTTTTGTGCAAAATGAATTTTCATGGAGCCATTTGCAAAAAAGCAAACAGCAAAACAAACATTAATTTTCACTTTTTTGATTATGTGTTCCTACTAGTTTCCCTTTCTTTTTGGTTTTCTCTTTTGCCATTTTCTGGTATTTTGCAAAAAAGAAAACAAAAAAAGAACACCAAAAAAGAAAAAACAAAACACAAAAAAAAACCACACACCTCACCAGAGAAGCAAGACCAGAAAATACTTATAAAGTAGAAAAATAATATTTGTTTAAAAAGAGTTAGTTTATTAATGCAAAATAGTTTCAAATAAAAAATGATTCTTTGGAGACCTAGAGTGGTTCTGAGAAAAAATTTGGAAATAACACATATCCTATTTTCTGTGGGAAAAATGCCCATTTTCCATTTATTGCTTTTGGGTTTTTTTTCCTGGTATATTTTATTCAAAATTAGCTTGATCAAAGAGCCCATGAAACCAACAGGAGTCTTGCCAAAGACTTTGAAACACAGACGTGTACATGGAGCTGCAGAATCACAGAACTACAATCAGTCAAACAATGCCCACGGCACCATTCTGTTTCCACACCCTACCTCAGCAACTCATCTAAGTCTTTCTCTGCTGTGTAGGGTGCACTGTCCTGCTTTGGAATAAGTTTTTATGTCCTTCTGAAAAGGAAGGCAATTTATCAGCCCTACACTTTGAGCCCACTGTAAAAGTAAACTGAGAGTCATAGCTCTGATGTACTCAGGACCTTAAAATCTCCTTAAAATAATTTTGAATTCAACACAAAATTTAAAGGAATCATGATATATAGAGTTCATTTGCAAATGTGTTAATTGCCTCCATTTCAGTTCCTAAACAACAGAAGACTTGTACTTCATTATTTGCAGTAATCAGAAATTATTTTTCCAGAATAAATACAGAGAAACATGGAGAAAATTTGTAGATGCTGTGGCCATTTCACTTAACTAAGCTGAAAGAGGTATATTTTGAAAAGAGATGATCAATAGTCTCAAAGTTGGCTCTGATAATTTCATCTTTGACAAACACTGAAAGGCACAAAGTATCATCTGGGTCTCATAGTCTTAAGTAGAAAAGCCCCTATGAAATTATTTTGAATAATAAAGAAACATTCAGATTCTCAGTGCATTAAATACAGTTCTCTGACCTCTCATACATGCAGGACAACACATCAAGAGAAGAGTGTGCAGCCCTATACTCCTCTTGTGAATTTTGAAGTTCCATTCTGAAAAATACGGAATTAATCTTGCAGCACTGTCTCACTTACTGCTCACTGAAAATGCTGATGAAGGCAGAGCCCATTCAATGTGTTTAACATCCCCAAGCTGATGAAGCCCAGGTCATACTGGACCCAGTCTGAGAAAGAGTTTACAAGTGTGCAGGACACACTTGGAATGAGCTGTGTTGTTAAATATCTGTGCGTATATTTTACCAGAATCAAGAATCAAGGGCTAGGTTGGAAAACAGCAACTGCAAAATACCTTACATATTTGCTCAGCAATTATGTTCTTTAATGTAAAATGTTTCTTCTAAAAGAAAGCTAATGACCCTGGGCTAATCTGCATGTGCAGATGTGCATATTAAACGGAAATTTTCAGCTCAAGGATTAGTCTGGTCGACAAAGCACGAAGGTGGTGCCCTCCTGTAGTCAGCACTGCTCTTGCATATCCAAGCTGTGCTACAAAACCCTCTGCCCTGCAGCACCAGCCATTGTCCCTGTGGAAAGCAGCAAGGGCATGGCACGCCAGAAGCAACCATGGTAAGGAGAGTCTGCAGGCACCTAAGGGGAAGTTTAAAAATGGGAACCAGAATGGAAAAGACTGCAGAAGCACTGGAGGTGCTGACTGCTCTCGAGCTTTGGTGTGGGCCAGCAGGCTGAATGGGGGAGACCGAGCAGCTCCCATCCAACACCAGCGTGAGGCCTGGCGGGAGCTGGATTTCAGCAGATGCTCAGCAGAAGGAGCAGCATGAAGGAAGGGGAGAGTTATCCAGTATAAAAAACACCCTTGGGGAGAGATGGGGAAGGCTGAAAGTCATGCAAAACTGAAAAAGGTAAGAAAGGAGTCTTTTACAATCTCTGGGTGACGCTTTAACCTGTCTCTGGCCACAGGTGTGCTCTGACACTCTGCCCTTTGGACGCCCCAGAGCTACACCCACTACTCACTCTTCAAAAGGAAAAAGAAACAAAGCCCACATACCAGCTAGCTTTTCTGAACCTCACTTTCAATGTACAAATCTCTCAGCTGACACCTGCAAACATATAGCTGGACTCTCCTAGTCCCTCTACTCATAGCATGAAAATTTCTGGGCCTCACCTAAATTCATCTGAGTGAAACCTGCTGCATTCTATGCGCCAACTCAGTCTTCTGGCTCATCCATGGTTAAAGGTCCACCATATTTGGCCTAGAAACTAGAAGTCACTGAATATTTTGTTTTCAAAGGCATCAGCAAAGTCCCTGATGTCAGTTTCCACAACAGAATATGAGGGAAGATAATTGAGGTTCCTAAAAACATTTTAAAGCTTTTTGGTTTTTTTCTCCCAAAAAGCCCTTTGGGAATATTAGTACATTAACTTACTTTCTCCATCCACCATTCAAAGGAAGGGCAAGAGAAAATAATAAATCAAGAAAGATCAGAGCTTAGGAATATCACTTAAATGCTATCTACTTACTTCTACCTGAATACCTACTTAAAAGAAAATTTTAAAAGTGTTACAGAGCAAGTTTTCAAGAAGGGAATCCAAAAAGCCTGAGAACACTCTAAGAAGTATGTGAAAGATTTGACATTAATAAGTAAATTTGATCCTGACTCATATATCCCTTAAGGAAAACCTTTAGGATTCCACATATGGAAGGAAGTTAAATATTAGTGGTCTACATCAATTTTAAAAATGCTGAAGTGATTAATATCAGTCAAGGAGTGTGTCCTAATTTTTCAGTCTTTCCTGCTCCTTTCTTTAAAAATAGCTAGTGTTTTATTAATGTAAAATATTAACTTTCAGTTAGTTGTAGGTTTTGTTGCCATTACCCCCTTCAACCCAAATAGTTCAGATAAGTCCTGGATAAACATGCAAGCCTAAAGTTGCTTATCTGAATCTAACCAAACCACTAAATACTTTAAAGTTGGTCAATTGTTGCATATGCAGTGGAAACTAATGCTAATTACCTTCTAGTCACCTCTTAAAGGCAAAATGATCCTCCAGATTTAGTTCTTCTGGCACAAAAAAAAATAATGCTAAAGCAGTAAAATAACTTCTAATATAATTATTTAGCTACTTTGTTTTAATATTGTGCATGCTATACTTGGGCACCTTTGTTTTAAATATAATAAACCAACCCTTGGCCAATTTAATTTGAAAGAACTATTTCATTTTAAAACAAGCATCCTCACAAAGAACTGGACTAGAATAACAAAAGAGATTAATTATAGCAGATTTTTCTATTGGCATGTGGACAAGCTGATGATCAGGAAGACATTTGTCTTTCCAAATTGTACAACTCTGATAAATGACCCTTTTTTCTTCTTCCCCAGATACCCACCATAACAGTACCATGAAGATAGAGAAATTGACTGTAAAAGACAGTTTAGTAGTGCTAAAGCTCTGCCAGTGTCCTCAGGAATTCATTAAAAAACAACCCTTTATTACTCAATTTGACATTGCCTAATTAGATTCCAGAAGACACTTATGCTTATTTTAGTCTAATGAGAATTTTACAGACAAGTCATTTCCTTATTCTCCCAAGAGAAAGTGATAGATTGGTGCACAATAGACTGCCTCCTCATCCCTCATTTCTTCAGCATCTTTCTTCTCCTATTAAGTCTTTTTTTTTGCTTTCCCTCCACTTTCCATTTAAAAATGCAACCTCTCTATTGGCATGGAAAATAAACATGAGGAAAAAGAAAAGAGTCAGAAGACATGTTTTATTTAGTGCTTGATAAATTAATCCTCAGGGAGGTATCCAGTCATGCTAACACTAAATACCAGTTCTAGCCAAAAAAAAAGAGCCAACCCCAAAACCCTAAACAAAAAAACCACACCAATAACTTGCACATTCTGCAGTATTTTTCTGGCATGAAATCAGTTAGCCAAACTAAAAGAACTGTGAATCACACATATACCTATTATGAAATATATTTTCACATCTCATAGTGATAGTAGAGCCAGTGACAGCTACCAGAAAATTAGACTTCCTGTTGAGTAACCCTGGTCTTCATTTGTCAACACAGAAACATGAAAATGTATACAAGACCTCCCATGCTTATCAAGCCTAGCTCCAAACAGTGAAAATCCAACT